CAATCAGCCCTGTACTCTCCATTGTCCCCGAAGCACAGGCCTGCTCTATCTCCTTGATATTCTCTATAGCTAAGACTAAGTTCAATCAAACTCTACCTTTTATATTTATTTGAATCCTTTGGTAATTCTGTTTCTCTTCAGGATTGCCCTTGGAATTTTAACCCAACAGCCCAAAAGGTTTTCAACGAGGGCAAGTGTAGGGGAGGGGAGCAGTGAGATGATTTCACTTCATCATGAACTATTAAAGGACCCTAAGGAGTTTCCAGGGCTGATCATGCTGCTTTCTTTCTACTCTTTTAGGGTTGACCATAAGAACAATTCATGAGCAGTTGTTCTTGTGTCCTTGTGCTCCAGTGTAATTTGAGGTGCATTTCTTTCACACTCATTATGCTTGGGTATGTCAGGTTGCTAGGATCATAACAGAACCTGAACTGCCTCATTCTTCAACTTTGGGAGACAGAGGAAAAAAGGAACTAGAATGGTGAGAAATGAATTTTGGACAGATCGGATGAAGTCAGAAGTAAAATCACATTTGCAAAAATTATAGCTGAGAATATTCTGATAATGAAAGTGATCCAGCCTAACTGACGCCATCTTGCTTCTGACCTTGAAGCTTTCCTTGTTCATTCCTGGGTATGGGGAACTAACTTGGAGGAACTTAGTTTATAGTTTAACTTTGAAATAAAGTTTCAGCTGACAATAATAGGCCTTTCCCCAGACAAATCCCCTACCTGCCTGGGGACTAGACTGCCTATGCAGGATTAATAAATTAGCCACGAAATTTAAAATTATGGAGGCTGCAAGATTCTGATCCTCCCCAAATTGCTCCTGGGATAACATCACTATTGTAAAACCTAAGATTAGGGCTTGAGGTATTTTGCAGACCCTGTACTCAGCGGATCAGCTGGCACCACTGAGATCGATAAACTGGCTCATGTGGTCTTATGGCCCCCACTGAGGAATTGAACTCAGCACAAGAGGACAGACTTGACTATGATATCATCTCCGAACCGACAAATCAGCACTCCCCACTTTCCAACACCCGTACTCACCAATATCTTTAAAAACCCCAATCCCTGAGTTTTTGGAGAAGCTGATTTGTGTAATGATAAAACTCCATTCTCCTGTACAGCCACCTCTGCATGAATTAAATTCTTTCTCCTTCTTTCTTTCTTTTTATTTGTTTATTTATTTATTTTATTTTATTTTATTTATTTATTTTTTGAGACAGAGTTTCGCTCTTGTTACCCAGGCTGGAGTGCAATGGCGCGATCTCGGCTCACCGCAACCTCCACCTCCTGGGTTCAGGCAATTCTCTTGCCTCAGCCTCCTGAGTAGCTGGGATTACAGGCATGCGCCACCGTGCCCCCCTAATTTTTTGTATTTTTAGTAGAGACGGAGTTTCACCATGTTGACCAGGATGGTCTCGATCTGTTGACCTCGTGATCCACCCACCTCGGCCTCCCAAAGTGCTGGGATTACAGGCTTGAGCCACCGCACCCGGCCCTTCCTTCCTTCCTTCCTTCCTTCCTTCCTTCCTTCCTTCCTTCCTTCCTTCCTTCCTCCCTCCCTCCCTCCCTCCCTCCCTCCCTTTCTTTTTTTCTTTTCTTTTCTTCTTTTCTTTTCTTTCTTTCTTTCTTTCCTTTCTTTTTTTCTTCTTTCTTTCTTTCTTCTCTTTCTTTCTCTCTCTTTCTTTCTTTTCTTTTCTTTCTCTTTCTTTCTTTCAACAGAGTCTTATTCTGTCACCCAGGCTGGAATGCAGTGGTGATCTGGGCTTACTGCAACCTCCGCCTCTTAGGTTTAAGTGATTCTCCTCCCTCAGCCTCCCAAGTAGCTGGGATTACAGGTGACTGGCATCCACCACACTCAGCTGATTTTTATATTTTTAATAGAGACAGGGTTTCACCATGTTGGCCAGGCTGGTCTTGAATTCCTGATCTCAAGTGATCCACCTGCCTCAGCATCCCAAAGTGCTGGGGTTACAGGTGTGAACCACCGTGCTCGGCCTAAACTCTTTTTCAATTGTAGTTCTCTTGTCTTGATAAATCAGCTGTGACTAGGCAGCAAGCAAGGAGAACCCATTGCATGGTTACAGCAGTTTAAGAAAATAAAGTGGAGATAATATATAGTATGATATTTAAAGACTTACTGTGTATCAGGTATTGTATAAGCTTCTAAAATACATCACTACTCTGAATCTTCTGGGAGGTTGAAGGGGGAGAATAGCTTGAATCCAGGAGGCAGAGGTTGTAGTGAGTTGAGATAGTGCCACTGCACTCCAGCCTGGGTGACAAAGCGAGACTCCATCTCAAAAAAATCCAAAAACCAAAAAACAATTGCAGACTCTCAAGCCTTATCCCAGACCTTTAATCAGAACCTGCCATTTTAACAAGAGCCGGATGATTCACATGCATCTTAAAATGTGATGAACCAACAGCATAGAAAAATCCTGGTTCTCTGAGTGATCACATGGAGCATGGCTTTTCTGATAACTGTTCCTCTCGCTTTAGGAGTGTTACAGCAGGAATAAGCATAAGCATCGGTGGCAAGCCACTGTAATGTGGGGTCTCCTTGTTACAATGGCTTAGCCCTCATCCTAAATAATGCCATATTGTTATCCTGGTTTTAAGGATGAGAAAAGTGCGGTTTAGAATGGGTACCTTCAGGGTTCTGACAGGAAGTAGGATTCAATTTGAGTGGTTTGAATAAAGAGATTAAGGATGGAGAGTTGGTGTAAGGGCAGGATTAAGGATAGAAGGCTGGTGTAGGAAGCTTGGTAGTAAAGGGAAGGAAACCTACTGGTGGCTGAAAGTAGTCTGGAGGTCAGGAACCTGAATATATTGGTGGGCAGTGGGAAAGGAGCCAGTAGAATGGAAAAGACTAAGAGGTTAAGAACAGTGTTTGATGGGATCTCGAAGGAGGGAAAGAATAAAACAATGGTCTAGGCTGGGCTCAGTGGCTCACACCTGTAATCTCAGCACTTTGTGAGGTTGAGATGGGTGGATCACTTGAGGTCAGGAGTTCAAGACCAGCCTGGGCAACATGGTGAAACCCCGTCTTTACTAAAAATACAAAAAATTACCCGGGCATGGTGGCATGTGCCTGTAGTTCTGTTTACTCAGGAGGCTGAGGCAGGAGAATTGCTCGAACCTGGAGACAGTGAGCTGAGATCATGCCACTGCACTCTAGCCTGGGTGACATAGTGAGATTCCATCTCAAAAAAAAAGCATGGCCTGAGGGGAGAGGACGTTTCCTCTGAGATGAGGTGAAGCAATAAAGATGTGTGTGAAGGTGGTCAGTGTGTGATGTGTGTGTGCATGAGTTTGACTAGGCTTGAGGGAGCTCATACCTTCTCTATGAAGTAGGAGAAGAGGTTTTGTTCTGAGAGAGACGGGGCCATTTCCTGCACTAGTTTGAGGAGATCCTGTGTGAATCAGGGAGGGAAAATGGTGAGTAGATGTGGGGGAGGGCTGTGTGTAGCATGAACATCTCTGCTGCTTTAAGTCTCTCTGCTTTGTTCCTGGGCACAGGTGGTCAAATTGGACAATCACTGTGGTCTGGTAGGAAGTTATAGTTTTTGATGAGGAATATCCTCTATTAGATACAGTTTGGTAGAGAATTTCCTCTGAGTAAAATCTGGACAATGGCATCATATCCTGAACCAGCACATAATATTTGAGGCAGTAAAATGGCATGATAATTTCTTTGTTCTTTGGTAAAAGCTGCACCGTGGACCCAGGGCTGAAGCCCATGTGTTCCCCTGGTTGCTTTAAGAGAACAAGACCATGTACAATAGAGCATTCTGCTTCTGATTCACTAACTCAAGCCCCTGTTCAGAATCACATGTGGGAAAATTATTTGGAAGGTGCCATAACCAGAGCTGACTGCCAACAGTTCTGTGTATTGTGTGCCAGACAGCCTGGAAAGGTGGGGACTTGCCTTGGGGGACTCAAGGTGCTTGTCACCTACTCAGCAGGCTCTGGCTGGTGATGCCCAGGTCCCTGGGACATTGCCATCTGATAATCATCTCCACGTTAGTCGGCTTTGCTGGCCAAACCATCAGGCCAGCTGGTGGCTTCTCTTTGGCAGCTGTTTCAAGAAAAGGATTTCTTTTACAGAGACAATGGATTTTTTCATCCATGTTTGAATGGATTTGGGGGTCTCTCCAATAGTGCTAAATTGTTTGTCCAACTTAAAAAAAATAATTGAACAGGGACACATAATTTTTGACCTCCCTGTAATTTCTGACTATAAGTCTACAGAGTTAAAGTGCTCCTCTTTGTACCTGCTGTATGTAAGCATTTCTGAATATTTTTTTCATGTTGGAATATCATAGGCAGGGGATGAGTTTAGGAGCATTATTAAATATTGTCACAAGTTTCATAGAAAGATTTACATTCACATAAGATAATATGGCATAATGCATGAATTACTGGACATTGAATTACATAATTTTTTGATATAAATTCATTAAATAATTTGTATATAAAATTTTCAACCTTTTTTCTTAACTTCAGGAATAAAATAACCAGGCTTTCTTGAGGGAATAACCTTGTGCTGAACACAGTATTTTTTTTTTAACAGAAAAAACAAGCTTGATTGTCTATTCATTTACTAAATAGAAAGAAGAAAAAATGTAGTTAATGGAATAATCATCTGCTTTAGGTTTGTCATATATTTCTGGCTAAGGTAGTATATTTATTTTGCTTTGGAAAAAACTGTTTATTAAATCTATTTTCTAGTTATAGGCAAACATATAAAAAGCAAGCATGCATAAAAAAGTCCTCATAGATGTTGATAAATGGAAAAAGCAAGTTATAAAATAATACACTTAGTATGATTACCAAACTTATAAAACAAAAAAGTAACATATCTATATACAGATATGCAGAGATTCATTTGCATGTATCTTGGTGTCTAAAAAGTAATTGGAAGTAATGCTAAGATTTTAATTTCATTTGTTATTGAGTTTCTTGCATTTCCTGTTTTCCTGGATGCAGGTACTTCTCATGTGTTGGCAGATGAGGGTAAGTTCTTCAAAATAAAGAACATGATGCTTCTCAGATGAGGGAGGTGACTGAGGCCTCTTGATGAACTTAAAGTTCTGAATGTCATGTTATTTTCCAGGGGAAGATAATGATGCAACATTGAAGGCCTGAAATAATTGAACCCTCTTTTTTCCTCAGAATAAAAAAATGTATATGTGGTGTATTCATTTATTTGTGTTGTTATACTGTTGGCACTATATATTTGAGGCTTGAATAAAATTTACGTAATCAGAAAAAAAAATTATTAAAATATAAAGGAAATTTCCAAGTGATGACTATGAACAATTTGTTAATCCATGGAAATGTACCTGATTTTAAGTCAAACAAATCATATTCACTGCATTAACAGACATAAGATGATGGTTAAGGAAATAAAAATGGAGAGAGGCCAAGGATGAAATTGAACATGTGGCACACATTGCCACTGTGTGTCTCTGGCTGGTCTATCAGCCATCGCAAATATGCATGTCTTGGGTGTGACAAACTGTTACAGAGAAGATACTAAGTGCTGAACAGATTCTGCCTTATATAGCAAAGACATTTTATTGCAGTCTTGGAGCCAATATAGTCTGATTTTTTGAAGACTTAACACACCCACAATTTAAGCAGGCCCGAGGGATGCACGTGGTGAGACATCAAGCCCAAGGCAATTTATTGGCAGAATTAAATTCTGGCTAATTTCTTTAGTGCCAGAGTGTCCAGTGCTCTCATTAACTGCACTAGTTACCAATGGAAAATTTGTCTTTCAGTGTAGGGCACTTTGCTGAAGTGGAGCCAGCCTCTTGAGAAGTGCCTGGAAGATTGGTTTGGAGTATTCTGAAGTGGTTTGGGGCTGCCCAGAGACTCATGGGCATGGTACAGGGACTCCTGTCAGGGACTCCTTTGGCCTCGTAGGTAGGTTCTGAAATGAGACCTTGTGCTCCTGCCAGGCCCCATAGCTAAGACAGCTTTCGTGTGTGTTATTGTGTGGGAAAATGAGGTTGAGCTCCACAGCTCCCCTCCCAATCACTGGGAGAGGAATGTGAAAAGCAGAGCAGGGGACCTGGAGGAAGAGTGCATAGTGATAGAAGCACAAAGGCAGGAGATGGTTCTGGAAAAGACTCCAGTCACAGTCACTTCCAGGGCAGGAGAAGCCATAGTCAAGGGTAATTGCAAGCCAGAGAGCATGCGATTTAATGAGAGTTCAGGCATCTTGGGAAAGTGTAAAGAAGTGAGATGATTGGGACAGGAGGTAAAGATGTCAAGGTTTGCTGCAGTGAAGTGCAGGAAGGGTAAGCTGGGGTGTGATGGGGTAGGAGGTAAAATCAAAATGCCTTTGGATTTACAGGGTGAGTGGTTATCATGCAATGCAGAATTTTAGAATGTTCTCTATGATGACTTTTGGGTTTTTACTCAACGAACTCCCATTATCCTATTGTGTTTTCTGTTTGCTACTGTAATCAACAAAAGGCACACCTTTTATTAAGTGACACTCAAGTAAAGGAGTGACCATATTTATCTTCCTTCCTTCCTTCCTTCCTTCCTTCCTTCCTTCCTTCCTCCCTCCCTCCCTCCCTAATTCCTTTTTCTTTCCCTTTCCCTTTTCCTTTCTTCCTTCCCTTCCCCTCCCCTCCCCTCCCTTCCCCTCCCCTCCCCTCCCCTCCCCTCCCCTCCCTTCCCCTCCCCTCCCTTCCCCTTCCCCTTCCCTGCCCTTCCCTTCCTTTCCTTTCCCTTCCTTCTTTCTTTCCTTCCCTTTCCTCTCCTCTCCTCTCCTTTCCCCTTTCCTTTCCTTTCCTTTCTTTCCTTTCCCTTTTTCCTTTCTTTTCTTTTTTTTTCTCTGTTGCCCAGGCTGGAGTGCTGTGGCATTCTCGGCTCACTGCAACCTCTGCCTCCCAGGTTCAAGCGATTCTTGTGCCTCAGCCTCCCAAGTAGCTGGGCCTTTGCCACCACACCCAGGTAATTATTGTATTTTTAGTAGAGATGGGGTTTCGCCATGTTGGCCAGGCTGGTCTCGAACTCCTGACCTCTGGTGATCTGCCTGCCTTAGTCTCCCAAAGTGTTGGAATTACAGGTGTGAGCCACCACATTTGGCTTTAACTTCAGTCTCTAAACTGGCTAACAGCTTAATGCAATGAGATGGGGTGATATTAGGGTCTATGGATGACTAGACTTTGGCCATATTGGAGAACATGGCTGTCAAAGAGATGTGGGTATCTCACCCTTCCTGTATGCTATGGTGTGAATTATGTGTTCCTCCCAGTTTTACATGTTGAACCTAATTACCAAGGTGATAGTATAAGAGATGGGGCCTTTAGGAGGTGATTAATCATGAGAGGTATGCCCTCGCAAATGGGATTATACCTTTTTAAAGGGCTTGAGGGAGGGAGTTTGGCCTCTTTTTTGCCCTCTTGCCCTTGTGCCTATTACCTTTGAAGACACAGCGATAGGCACCATCTTGGAAGCAGAGAGCAGCTCTCACCAGAGACTGAGTTTGCTAGTGCCTTGATCTTGGACTTCCCAGCCTCTGGAACTGTAAGGAATAAATTTATGCTGTTTATAAATTACCCCAGTCTCAGATATTTTGTTATAGCAGCACTGTTGGACTAAGACACTATGGTAAAAGACGTGACAGAAATACTTTGGATTTATCCTGTAGGAGTTCACCTTGGGACTATGTTTATTTTCCTTTCAGGAAGTGTTTCTCCTGGCTGGGCATGGTGGCTCATGCCTATAATCCCAGCACTTTGGGAGGCTGAGGCAGTCGGATCACCTGAGGCCAGGAGTTCAAGACCAGCCTGGTCAACAGGGTGAAACCCCATCTCTACTAAAAATACAAAACTTAGCTGGGCATGGTGGTGTGCGCCTGTAATCCCAGCTACACAAGAGGAGTCTGAGATAGGAGAATCACTTGAAGGAGGCAGAGGTTTCAGTGAGCTGAGATCATCCCACTGCACTACAGCCTGGGCGATAGAGTGAGACTTAGTCTCAAAAGAAAAAAAACAAAATGTTTTTCCTTTTGACAAAGAAGAGACTAGTATATGTATCATTTCAGGCACTGGGATGATGCCATCCTGAGATGCAAGGAACTCTGAGATGAAAGAACAAAATGGGCTGGGCATGGTGGCTCACTCCAGTAATTTCAGCACTTCGGGAGGCCAAGGTGGGCAGATCACTTGAGTTCAGGCGTTTGAGACCAGCCTGGCCAACATGCTGAAACCCCATCTCTACAAAAAAATACAAAAATTAGTTGGGTGTGGTGGTGTTTGCCGGTATTCCCAGATACTCAGGAGGGTGAGGCAGGAGAATCACTTGAACCTGCGAGGGAGAGGTTGCTGTGAGCTGAGATTGCACCAGCCTGGGTGACAGAGTGAGACCGTCTCAAATGAAAACAAAACAAAACAAAAACAGGATGGTTTGAGACATGAGATATTATTTGAGCTAACAAGAGAGGATTTGATTAGAATACCTAGAGTATAGCCAGAGAGTCACTAGAAATAAAAAAAGGAAAAGTTGGGAAGTTGAAGATTCTGCTATGAATTGTAGTGTCACTGTGAGAAACTGAACAAGTTAGAGTAGCTTTATCAGTAGATGTCTGGAGGAGCCAAGTAGAATGATTTACTTTTTATGCCTAAGAAAATGTCTGCAGAAAGTAAATATAGGAAATAGGAGTCAGGATAGAATAGGCAGGCATCCTTCAAAGGATTCCCTAAGTCCACAAGGTACCTGAGAGGGCTATTTCATCTATTCTGATAGACTTGGTGTTTTAGGATGAGAAATTCCCTTAGTGAATATGGCATATAGTGAGCTATGAATGGCCAGATGGTACAATTTTAATGTCTAAATACGGCTCACTTATTTATGCATGCTCTGTGGTTAAAGAGGCTCACATTCTCACTTACTTTTTGCTTTATGATGCTTCTGTTCCTGTAATTCTTTGTGTATTAAAATGCAACCTCTTTTCAAGATATCAGTGTCCTTGCTCCCCAATAAGCTTCCCTAGCTCATAGGAAAGAAAAGGGAATTTTATGGCTACGGTTTTTTCTGATGCCACTGGAGAGCATAAGTAACAGTTTGGTGAAGTATTATGAGAAGCCTTTCAGTAATGTCTAGTTTGCAGATGTAAATATAACAGGGAATTTTCTTTTTTAAAAAAAGATTCCCCTCAGCTTTATTAAGGTATAAATGACAAAATTATATACTTTTATTGTGTACAATGTGATGTTTTTATATATGTATAAATTGTGAAATGATTAAATCAAGTTAACAACTTTTTTTGTGTTAAGAACATTTAAGATCTTCATTCTTAACATTACTATTAAGTGCAGTCACCATACTGTACAAGAGCTCTTCAAAACTTATTCATCTGATTTTTTTTTTTTTCATGGATTGGAGGTTTCAGTGGGACGGGAGAATCACAAGGAATCAGGTGTTCAGAGGAATGTATTGAGTAGAGGTGAGGAACTAGGATGTTGAAAAGTAAAAATAGGAGAGAAGGAGAGGAAGAAAGAGGAAGAAAAAGAGGGAGAGAGAACAGGAATATTGCTTCATTCTAAAAATGGGTATTAATAATGGCCGATCAATATTTTGAGTATTTAAAATGGAGAACTCTATAAATATTTATTGAGTTTACTTGTTCCGGAACTGAGTTGAAGTCCTGGATATCCTTATTAATTTTCTGTCTCGTTGAGTCTAAATCTCGTTATGGGTCTTATGTATCTGGGTATTAAGATCTCTTATTGTTGCATTGATCCTTTTACCACTGTATCTTTGTTGCTTTGAAATCTATTTTATCAAATGTGAGAATTGCAACTCCTGCTTTTTGTTTATTTATTTATTTTTGCTCTCCATTTGGTTGGTAAATTTTTCTTCAACCCTTTGTTTTGAGTCTTTGTGTATCTTTGGCTATACCGTTAGGTTTTGGCTGTATCTTTTGATTGGGGGATTTAGTCGATTTAAATTTAGGGTTACTGCCATTTGATATTAACTGGCTATTTTATCCATTCGTTGATGTAAATTCTTCTTTATATTGATGCTCTTTACTTTTTGGTATATTTTTAGAAAGGCTCATACTGGTTGTTCCTTTCTATGTATAATGCTTCTTTCAGAAGTTCTTGTAAAGCAGGCCTAGTGGTAATAAAATGTCTGAGTACTTGCTTGTTCATAAAAGATTTTATTTTTCCTTCAATTGTGAAGCTTAGTTTGGCAGGATATGAGATTCTAGGCTGAAAGTTCTGTTCTTTAAGTATGTTGAATATTGGCCCCCACTATCATCTGGCTTGTAGGGTTTCTGCTGAGAGATCTACTGTAAGTCTAATAGGCTTCCCTTTATGGGTAACCTGGCCTTTCTCCCTGGCTGCCCTTAGTATTTTCTCCTTTGTTTCGATCCTGGTGAATCTAACGATTATGTGCCTTGGGGTTGCTCTTCTTGAGGAATATCTTTGTGGTGTTCTCTGTATTACCTGGGGTTGCATAGTGTCCTGCTTTGCTAGATTAGGAAAATTTTCCTGGATAGTATCCTGAAAAGTATTTTCCAGCTTGGATTCATTCTCTCCATCACATTCAGGTACACCAATCAAACATAGATTGGGTCTTTTCACATAGTCCCATATTTCTTGGAGACTTTGCTCATTCCTTTTTATCCTTTTTTCTCTATTCTTGTCTTGCTGTTTTATTTCATTAAGTTGGTTTTTGACCTCTGATATCCTTTCTTCTGCTTGATCCATTCTGCTATTTAAACTTGTGCATATTTCACTAAGTTCTCGTGTTGTATTTTTCAACTCCATTAGTTCATTTATATTCCTCTCTATATTGTCTATTCTTTTCAGCATTTTGTCAAACCTTTTTTCAAAGTTCTTAGTTTCTTTACATTGGGTTAGAACAAGTTCTTTTAATTCCCAGAAGTTTCTTATCATCCACCTTCTGAAGCCTACTTCAGATAATGGAACATAGTCCTTTTCCATCAGGGCTTGTTCCATTGCTGATGAGTAACTGCAATCCCCTGTAGAGGGAGAGGGGTTCTGATTTTGGGTATGCTCAGCCTTCTTAGGCTGTTTTTTTCCCTTTATTATAAATTTATCTATCTGTCGTCTTTACAGTTACTGCCTTTCTAATTAGGTTTCTGAGTCGACGTCCAATTTATTGATTCCCAATGCTGGGATTCAAGCAACCCACTGCGCCAGCCAAAATAGCAGCAATAAGACTGATGGTGTTCTTCTGCCCAGGAATCTCTGGTCTGGCTTCCTTCTTGAGTCCGCAACAAGTGGCTCTGCCTTCCCGGAGCTCCAAACACCGGTCAGTAAGGGAACCAGTCCCGTTTACTCTGCATGAAGAGCTGCCGCGCCAAGGCACCAACAAAACCGCTGCGCCGGCCACAAGAGCCGCGCTGGCAACCCATGGGGCTCCTCCACTAGAAATCTGCTGGTCCGTGAGTGACGAAAATTC